AGGTCCCTTTTAATTTTAGAATTTAATTATATTCTATGGGAAGAATCACAGAATTTCAAAATTGGGAAGTGGTAGTAGGAGCAATAACTTAACCCCTCTGCTCATGCAGGTTGAGCTAGTTTTTCCTTAAAAGGTATGGAGACATTCCTAGAGACAATCACTTCCATAAGTGCCTACGGTTTCACGGCTGGTAGATACCAATGAATAACACTGCAAAGGAAGTGCTACTCAGCTGACTCAACTTGAAGTATCCTCAGGGCCTATCCTTAATGAATAGCCTACTACTACGGCTAAATGCATCTTCATGAGTTAACTGTCAGATAACTTCCAAGTGCCCCATTTTGTTTGAATATTCAGCCTAAACTACTGGGGGACTGGTCAGAGTCAGATCGAGCCCAAAACAACTGACGGGCTTGCCAGACTGGAGCCTAAAAGCTCATGAAGTAGGCAGTCCACAGGAAGATAAGCTCAAATTGACCTTCATGCTTCGGATAATGCATTTTCATGATGCATCTAGAGATAGTGGTTTCTTACTGTGATCTACTCCCCATACCTAGGAGATGACAGCAAACTGCTCATGGCCATTCAGAAAGTAAGGGGAAAGGAAGGAAGGAAGGAAGGAAGGAAGGAAGGAAGGAAGGAAGGAAGGAAGGAAGGAAGGAAGGAAGGAAGGAAGGAAGGAAGGAAGGAAGGAAGGAAGGAAGGAAGGAAGGAAGGAAGGAAGGAAGAGAAAGAAAGAAAGAAAGAAAGAAAGAAAGAAAGAAAGAAGAAAGAAAGAAAGAAAGAAAGAAAGAAAGAAGAAAGAGAAAGAAAACACGACTATGCTTTATGTTCTTCAGAAATGTTTGTTGTTGTTCAGTCATTTCAGACTCTTGATGACCCCATTTGGGGTTTTCTTAACAAAGAACTGGAGTTGTTTGCCATTTCCTTCTCCAACCCATTTTACAGGTGAGAGAAACAGGGTTAGATGAATTACCTAGGGTCACACAGCTAGTAAATTTCTGAAACCAAATTTGAATTCAGGAAAATGAGTCAGGTTCCTGACTTCAGGCCCAGAACTCTATCCACTGGGCCACCTAGCTGTTCCTGTACATGCCCCTTTGTTTCTGGGAAGGAAATGTGAAAGGCATAATAAAGAAAATAAATGGAGTTATTGTGAAATTTAAGATTCCATGGTATAACTCCTCCCTATGGAGGGCTTAAAGGACCAGGACATGACATTGTTGGGGAGGAACCTTGCTTTATAGCAACAAGAGGAAGATTAAAGAGTTCAACCAGCCCCCAAAGAAGAAGGGAGTGACCTCTTAGGGCCTCTTACAGGGCATAGATTTTTCGTTCTACCCCTACCCCACAGAGTTCTCTGGAAATGGGGAGCCTCTGGAGGGTTGGCCAGAGAACACTAAATGGGTGGCAGTACAGCGCAATTTTCTCCAACCTGTGATGAGTATGGGTGATGATGCAGAAAGTATCACTGTCTTTGCTGCAGCCCTAATATACTTGGTACTTCTCCTGCTTATGATCACCTGTTTTTTTTATTAAGACCTACCATGAACTGCAAAGTCTTGGCGTCACCTTCCACACATACCTGAGACTCAGTCCTTCCTAGGAATCTCCCAGATTTAGTCACTCTCTCAGAGAGCTATTACATTGTTTCTATTTGCTTTATTTTATCTCTTTCTCCTTTAATGCTGCCTATAAAGCATTTCTTCAATCCTGGACTTCAAGTTGCCCAGGAACAGATCTAACATCATTTAAGCATTAGGTCTTCCAGAAAATATTAATGACCTCACCACCAAGGGGTGGACTATAGTGAAAGTAATACCAACTTAATCTCTTCCCCATGCGAGTTGTGCTAGTCTTTCCTTAAAAGATTTTGACACATTCCTCAAGACTTTATTGGCTGATGGGACTAAAACTCAATCGTGAGATCCGATTTTACTTCCTCTTCCTTACTACCAATCAGTCAAAAGGACTTGGAGGGCGTATCATCTCCAAGGTTTTGTTGGTGGATTATGATCACAATGCAGGCAAGAAAGCTTAACTCAGCTGAATCAACTAGAGGCGTCCTCAATGTTTATCACTGTTGAGTAGCCTGCTGCTAAATCTCTTTTTGTTAACTGCTGCATGACTTAGTATTATCCAGTTTTGTTCTATATTGAACCTAAACTATCAGACTGAGTCTCAGCCCAAAACAGGGGAGGATCTCAAAGACCTTTTAGTCTAACTCATACTTGAAAAAAAATCTCCTTAACATTCCCCACACCTCTTTAGCCTAGATCCTGAGTGACGTGTTTCTTGCCCACATGATCACTTTCCACTAACCCAGAAACATACCATGACAAACTGACCCATGACAAAACATGCCAATTTTTCACACTGTGTGGGCACAGTTATTTAAATGACCCCAGGCTGCTTTCCCAGATAGCCAGTAGAGAGAAATAGTCAGGGGTAGCCATGTATTCCCCTAGATTTACCACATTCAGACAGAAGAAAAAAACCATTACAATCCCAGACACCCATGAATAGGTGATCTAGATGTGGAAGCTTCTGAATATCAGGGATGACCTCCCTTGCTCTGCCTGAACCTAGCACAGACAGGGTAACATGGGTGTCACAGATCCAACTATGTCACCCCCTCTAAAGTCTTCAGTGGCTCACTGTTACCTGTAGATTAAATTACAAAACCCTCAGCTTGGCATTTAAATCCCTCTATGATATAGTTCCCATATCTCTTTCCCCTCTTGTTTCATGTGGGTTTCTTTCACACACTCTGTTTTAGTCCAACTCACTTGCTCTCTGTATTCCTGTGTATGACACTCTACCTCGAACCTCTGTGACTTGGCACAAATCAGTCACTGTGTCTAGAATGCACTCCCTCTTTACTGCCCTCTCTTAAAATCCCACCTTCCCGCCAAGTACAGCTAAGTGCTACCTACCTCTGCTGGCAGTCTTTCCTACCCCCTGACTGTTGTTAACGCTCCCTTGCTCTTAAAATTACTTTACGTAATTTATACTTGCTTCTCTGTGTGTATGTTGTTTCCTCTAAATCAGGTCTACTTGCTGTGGCTGAGGACTCTCTGGGTGAGTTCCTACATTTATTTGGCTGCAGAGGCCTCTCGGAATGAGTGTTTATGTTGTAACTCAGTGTTTGAACTAGGGAAGAGGGAAAGGAGGGAACCTATTCCCTAGAATTAGGTGTCCCAAAGAGATGTATTAAAGGATATGCTCTACAGCCAACCAGGTTCTCGGGACAGCTAGAATAGGGAGGAAGATGCTACAATTGCCACACTGGGGCAATGGGATAGCAGGTCCAAAGGTATCTCCACAGCTTTCCCTTTTTGTATAGGAAAAGTCCCATCTCTGGCACTAGAGATGGAACCTCCTTTTCAGATGCACTCGTGTTGTGGCTTGTGGGGAGCAAACCATTTCCAGTTCTAGGTTTAGGGATCTTTCAGCATAGTAGCTGGTCAAGGGATAAGAAGTGTATGGAACTGGACTATTTCCCAATTACCCACAGTAGGATGATAAGGGTGATAGGAAGGATCTTATATATCATTATAGGTGCCAGAAAGATGTTTGGGCCCGCATATATCTATGAAGTTTGGGGAAATGGCTCTTTCAGGACTAAGATCAAATCCCACCTTCTGCAGAAATCATACCCAGTCCCCTCCAACTATTAATCCCTTCCCTTTTAGATTATCTCCCATCTCTCTGTATATATCTTGTATGAACCCACTTAGTTGCACACTGACTCCCTCGTTTGAACGCGAGCGCTTGAGGACAGGGACTGTGAAGGGGGGCAGGGGCATGGAGGGGAGATCCGCCTTTCTTTGTATCCCCAGCACTTAACACAGGGCCTAGCATAAAGTAAGCGCTTAAAAAATGCTTGTTGACTGACTAATTGACATCCCCCAGAGTGCGAAAGAATAACAGTCTAAGACATAAATATATCCACATGAGTGCTGTACAAAGAATCATAGAAACCACAGACCAGACACTCTGAAATTGATTGTGGCTGTCACAATTTAAATACCTCCCAGTAGGGCAAACAGTGAGCTCTATGCAGGCAGGTGCTGTTTCATTTTTGTCTTTGTATGTGCCAACAACTTTCATGTGCCTGACTTGCCATAGAAATTTGCTGAATTGAAATGAATTCTCATACTTCCCAGGCTTCAGGAGTCCTCTGTCAGCAATTCCCCGATGCCATAATTGCCTGGGGGAATGATCGCTATTTCTGTGGAGTAAATGCCTTGATATTTCCTGGCTCTCAGGGAACCTACCAGACTTACAGGCAAGGTCTCACATCAGAGGCAAACTACCAGCCACAGGAATGGCGCACACACACACACACACACACACACACACACACACACAAAGGGGGAAGAGTGACCAAGAAAAGAAGAAGCTGAGCAAGACACGTGCAGGCCTTGTAGACAGGGGTGGGAAAACATATGAAAGCATTCCTATACGGCATCCGGGCTTACATGTTGACATGAGCATATTTAGGTGGCTACGTGGCATGTTTCTGCAGACGCACATGTTATGTGAGTAGGTCTGCTCAGCAGGCAGAGAGTGAACAGGTGCCCAGAACATGGCACCCAGCCAACACGCCTGCAGGGTGGAGGTTTCATGCAAGGTCAATAATGGAGAGCTAGCAGCTAAAGAGGCACTGATGATGACAAGCAAGTCATAAACCACAAATCCATAAAGAAAGAAGGCTTCCTATAATACAATTAGCAGGAAATGTAAGCCTTTTCCCCACTCTCCAGGGTTGATTATGTTACATACAATAGGTCCTTCATAAAAGACTGGTGAATTGACTGAGGGGCAGGGATCATTCCCACTTGTCATGAGAAATCTAAAGGACAAAGAGACTAAGTCTTCGGTCCACAGTCACACAGGAATTCAGTATTTCAGATGCGATCTTATTTTTATGTACTAGAAACACAGAAATGCACACAATTTTAGTTTTGTTTTGTTTTTTGGTATTTAAGAATTTCAAAAATTAAATATTAAAAATGTAATAAAGGAAGATGAGAACTGACCTCACTTAGCTAGGGCTCTAGCTGTCTCCCTAAAATGAGCTCTGTTTCTGAGGACCACTAGGAAAAAATGAGCATTCCCAAACAACTATACGTGTTCTTCCTCTCTACCCAACCTATATTATGGTCACTAGCATCTCTAGAAACTTCTTAATCCTCACTCCATATCTGTTACCAGCCTCTGCCATGCATGGTCCTGAATACTATTCTTTGGGATAATCTTTGCTTCAATAATTTACTTTGTGGCCAATAAATTATAGGTACCTTAAATAATACAAATGCTATAAGCATTAATGTTATCTTTTTCAGTGGGTTACAGTGTACTCTGGGGCAAGATCCTTCTTATGTGACCTCAGAGTTACCTCTAATACAAACAGCCCTCCAAACAGCCCCAGCTATGAAGAGGAAGAATGTCCCTCACTTTTTGGCCTCTTTCCTACACCCTTAAGCCCCATCCCTGAGGAAAACTAGAATTGGATTTTCCCATCCCTATTTATTTTTGTTGACCTTGGAGTCATCTGTCTTCCCCAAAGAGGGTACTATGGACGCTATTTCCACTGCTGAATCCACAACCATCTTTGATTCTGCCGGTGCTGTTTCTGGTGTTGACCACATCTTTGGATTAATCCCCAATCTTCTCCTTGTTAGGAGAATTTCAGTGACATCCGGATCAGAGGGCAAAATCCCAAAGGTTTTGTAGTTGAAGAAGGAGACGATCCCTAAAGAAGGAGGAAAAACTCAGTGTAAGGTTCAGGTGGTAGGTTGCATTCAGTATTAGTTATAGGTGAAATACAAGGAACTCCACAGGGCCTCTGGGCTATTTTGTTGTCATGAAATTTTGTTCATTGCTCAGAATTGTGTGCCCGACCTGCAGGATCTAAAGATGAAATACTGATAATGTTCTCTGCCTGTCTGTCAGTGAATTAGCAAGTGTGACCACTTCTGTGCTTTCTCTGAGGGAAGGGAATATCTCAGAAAATGCTCCCAGTTATCCACTCATCTAGAAAGCCAGAAGGTTCTATAGTGGTCTCTCCCACTGAGGATAAGTGCCCAGTTCACTTCTGTGATGTCATGACTCCAGGAGAAGGTGAAGCGTCCCAGAGAAGAGGACTCACCTAGCACTGGACTTCTATGCCAAAAAAACAAAACAAAACAGTGAACCACACACAAAACTCACCCATGAGAAAAGAGACTGAGCAAAACCCAATCCAACCCAAGGCATGGAAGCCCCTCTGCTCCCTCAGAACCATCGTAACTGAGTTCACCCCAGTGAGGCTGTAATTATACTGGCTCTCCAGGACATATGGCTGGTTTTGAAAATCACCATCACCAGCAGAATTTTGGAACTGCTTCTGAGTTTGCTGTTCAGTCATTTTCAGTCACGCCCAACTCTTTGTGACCCCATTTGGGGTTTCCTCAGCACAGAGAGCGGAGTGGTTTGCCATTTCTTTCTCCAGCTCATTTTACAGATAAAGAAACTAAGGCAAACAGGGTTAAGTGATTTGCCCAGGGTCACACAGCTAGTGTCAGAGACCAGATTTGAACTCAGGAAGATGAGTCTTCATGACTCCAGGCTGCCACTTCACTGCCCAGGATATAGTAGCAGAGATGAAACTGATGTTTAATATGGGAAGGATACAAAAGAATAACTGCTTTCTTTCGTAGGACAAAAGAGTTGTGAAGAGTGGAGACGCTTACTGCCTATACACAAGCAGAGCTTTTCATTACAGAAACCACTGCACCGGCAGAATTCATGTGAAGCAAAAGGGGAGGCTGCAGGGTACGAGGGAAAGGATGCTGGATTTGTAGTCAAGGACTTGCCTTCAATCTCAGCTCTGTGGCTCAACGCCCCACATGACCTTGGACAAGTCACTAAATCTCTGTTTCCTCTTATATAAACAAAATGGGATGCCAAGATGGCGTCTGAAGTCTCTTCTCACTTGGAATCTAAAACTGTTTTTTGTAAAGGATCATTTGCTAACATGAAAATAGTTTGTGATACAAAGCACTTGTGGATCAGCAGGAAGACCCAGAGAGGACCATCCCTCGGGACAGCAGATTCAGCACGAGGCATCTAGTCCAACTCTTTTATTTTAGAGATAAGGAAACTGAGGCCCATGAGGTCACACAGGTGCCAGCGGTCGAGCAGGGATTCGTTACCTCTAAATGCAGTAACCTCCCATGCTGCCTCTTGTCTCTGGGCTCTATCTTTCCCTTCCCAGAAGGGTTTCCCTCTCCTCTCCCTTTGCCACCATACGGTGTAGGTCTAACTCACCAACCACTATGTAAAAGAAGCTACCCCACCAGTTGAAGTAGAAAATCCACAGGTAAGATGATTCCATGTTGTAGCTAGTGTACTTTTTGACTTGCATCAGAAAAAGCACAAGGCAAACGAATAGGCTGGCTCCTAGGAGCAAAAGGAGGGAGGATTACCCTTTGGAGCTACTGTCCTGCCATCTCTCATACCTTCCTCCCTTCCACTCCCCCTCACCATCCCCCCCCCTTCTGCCAGGTTGTCTGTGTCCCACATTAGGGGTTAGCTATATAGAAAAAGCCAATGGGACCAGAAGGCATAGAGGCGTAGCAAGAAGCAGTGAGACTGGACTTGGAGATGATCAAGTGTGAGTTCCAGGACCAGCTCTCTGCAACCTACTAGCTACATGACCTTGGGTAAGTCAGCTGTCCTTTGAGGACCTCACTTACCCGGCTCTAAAGTAAGGGCAGCAATACCTGCTCTACTTACCTCATGGTTTGTCTGCTGTGAAAGTGCTTTGTCAACTTAAAACACTTTATAAATGGAAGGGATTCTTATTATGGGGGTAGGGCAAATCTCTGGCCTAAGGAAGCACAATAATAAGGCCTCCGGCATCATAGAACTATGGAATGTCAGAGCTGAGAGGGACCATAGAGACTAGTCCAACTTCTTCACTCTACAGTTGAGGAAACTGAGGCTCAGAGGAGCTAAGTGATTTGCTCAGGTAATTTACGGCATAGTTGAAACTACAGCATAGATTTCCTGACTCTTAACCCCGTGCTTTTTCTCCTGTGTTATTATTCTTCAGGGAAACTTCCCTGCCTATCACTAGCAACGGCCCACCAGGAGCTTGAAATTTCACCATTAGAATTTCATTCTTTTGGAATGAACACTGCCCTCTTCAGACTCCTGTTATGCCATTCCAATGCCTCCCTGCTCCAAACTGGGGCTGGGTAACCCTTCAACTAGAAAAGGAAGTTGTGAAAAAGAGGTAGAAAAAAGGGACTAGGTTCAGGGGAGAGCATCGGAAGCAAACTCTGAGGACTTTGCAGTTTTGCCAGAGGCTTAGCCTGCTAGTATGGGTCTGTACCTGAAGTCAAAGAGAGGATGGCCACCCCCTGGTCCAAGTGAGTACTGGGCTCTTTCCTGTCCCGGCAGGACCTGATGACCCAGGCGAGCATAACGAAGGTAATGAAGACCGAGAGGAGAAAGAAGATCCTGGAGATCTGGAGGTAGTCTAGAGGGTGAAGCAGAAAGTAAGAGGCCAGGCTGGGGACTAGGGACAAGGGACAGGAGACAGCCCCCCACTCCCACCCCAAGGATGTTCAGGAACTAGGGAAGAGAAGTCCAAAGAAGGACAGAGGCAGGACCAGCTATACTCATAACCAGAGTAGGTGACCCCCCATTCTCATTTCAGGAACATCAGCAAAGTTCTTCAGCATTCTCCCAAATGCTCGTTAATGCCAAAAACGGAGAGCAGTCCCTTCCTTTATTCACGATGCAAGAAAAGGGTAAAAGCACGAATACCTCTTGGATGGGAAACACACTGATATAGACTCACGTTACAGAGTATGGGTGTGACTATAAAATAAGGAGACTTATTTCAGTGAGCCTGACAAAACAAGCCTGGCCCTCGACAAGAACAGACCTTGGCTGGCACAAGCTGGGCACAACATCATCCAATCAGGCTGCCATCGTTGAAATATTTGGGGAACTAACTCTGTAATTATATAAAGGCAATTTGAATTGCCTTTAAGGTCTATGATACCGTTTGTAATCTCCCAGAGTCACAAATATTCAAAGCATGGATTTAATTTTTAGAAATGTCCCTAAGTCAGTAAAGCACACATATTTAGGATTAGGGTTTTTGGCTAGGTAGTTAAGGTAATCAAGCGAGGTAATCTCATTTTTGGTCTAAAAATTGTTTCAGAGAAATTTCACTGTGACCTAGAAACATTATCATTGTGAAGAAGTCAACCTCTAGAACACCTCTCTGTGAGCCACAGAAATCAATTCAACACTTGTAGGTTCTAGGGATACGAAAATGAAAAACGATGCAATCCTTTCCCAACCCTCAATTATCATACAATCTAGTTGGTGGGAAGGTGGAGGAGCGATGCAGTGGGGAATAAGACACACAAATAAAATAGGTCAGAATGACACAAGTGCCTAGGAGGAGTTAAGAAAAGTGACATCTCTTTAAGGATATTTTGTCACTTTAGGAGGGAGGGATCACTGCTAGCAGGGGTATCAGGGAAGGTTTCATGGAGGAAATGACATCTCAGTTTGACCAAGGTAAGATGTCAGAACAGGAAGAAGCCTAATTTTCCCTATAGTTGCTCCAACAACAATCTGAGAAGAATGCCTTACCGAGGAGTGATTGGGAAATCAAAGGAAAAACTACAGTGGATCATCTTAATAGTTTAAGATCATAAATTTCACCTATAGGTATGTGACTAGAGCAGAAACTAGGAAGAGAGTTTGGGGAACAGAGGCAGGCCAAGACTCAGTGCCCAGAGCTCTGAACTAGGTGAGCAGTAGAGAAATAGCAGGGTCTCAGCCAAGGGCCCAGGCCAACAGCCGGGGGGGGGGGAAGGGTGTCTCCCAGAGGGGCCTGCAGAAAGGACTCAGCACCCAAAGCCTCCCAGCATGGGGGGGGGGTGGAGAAGGGGCGAAAGAAAACAGATATTAGACTTGGTCCCCTGCCAAGGAGTGGGAAGGAGGTATCACCCAGAGGGGCCAGGATTGTAGGCTCAGCCTACAAAGCTCCCAGCTACACCAACAAGGTTGTCTGGAGCAAACTGATGGACAGTAAGTAAACAAGAAAGATAAAGAACTACTGTGATGCCAGGAATGACCAAGACACAAACCCTGAAAAGGAAAATAATTCCTCTAGGAGGGAGAGTATAGTGTAGAAGGGAGAAAAAAAAATAGAAGTTTGATCACTGAAAAACTAAAATTTAATTTTGAAAAGTAGTACCTAAATTGGGCCTTAACAGAAGGAAGGCCCAAGAATGACATGCAGAGATATATAGAGGTGGCCAAGGCCAGGAAATGGTGAGGAACCCAGCTCAGCTACAACACAGTAGGTGAAATGGAGTAATGTAGTCAGCACACTGGATGTTAGACTCAATGGGCAAGGAGAAAGTAGCACAGATTTTTGAGCACAGCAAGTATATAATCAAAGCATTAGAGAGATTACTTTGGCAAAGATGTGAAGGACAGATTGGAAAGGGGAGAGACTGGAAGCGGGGTAACCAGTCTGGAGACTGGTATAAGAAATCACCTAAGACATGATAGGGACCCAAAAAAGGGGGAGGAGTTGGCAATGGGAGTGGAAAGAGAGAAATGTAAGAGGAATTATGAAGACAGAATTGACAGAGTTTAGCAAAAAAATATATAGCAATGGAGGTGGCAGGGCAGGTGGTGTCTAGCATTTTGAACCTAGGCCAGAACCACAGGTTGCCCACCCCTGGCGTAGGCCCTGGGAACAATACAGACCCCATCAATAGAAGTAAAGTAGTGAAAAGAAGGAGGGGATTTTAAAAAGAAAAATTAGTTTAGTTTGGGATATAATGAATTTCAGATCGTGGGATTAGGGCTGGAAGAGATTTTAGAGACCACTGAGTCTAATTTCCCCTTTTACATATAAGGAAACTGAGTGAGATGCATGAAGGTTGAATGACTTTTCCGGGGTCACACAGCTAACGAGGGTCTGAGGCAGGATTTCAACATGCCATCCTGACTCCAAATCCAGCACTCTACCCACTGTGTCATCTTGCTGTCTGGGAAGTCAGTGGAATGTCCAGGTGAAGATGGACCATGAGCATCTGTGAAAGGACTAGTGCTCAGGAGAAATACTGGGGCTTAAGATAAAGATTTTGGAGTCTTCAGCACAGAAGTGGTAACTGAATCTAGGGAAGCAGATGAGAATACTCAGGGATCAAGTACAAAGTGAGAAAATCAGGACAGTTCATAAGAAGGGGACCAGCTTGGCAAAGAACTGGAAACTAAGAGGGTGCCATCAGTTGGAGAACGGCTGAACAAATTATGTTGTCAGGATGTAAGGGAATGCTATTGTGACATAAGAAGCTGTGAAAGAGATACTTTCAGAGAAGACTGAGAAGATGTGTAAGAACTGACACAGAGTAAAAATAAGCAGAATCAGAAGATTTGTCCAATAATAACAAACAACTTTGAAAACTTAAGAACTCTGATCAACGTGATGACTAATGATTTCAGCAGACTGATGACGAGAATGGCTACCACCTCCTGCTAGAGAGGTAACAGATTTAATATGCATAATAAGACACATTTTTGGACATGATCAATGTGTTGGGGGTTTTTCATAATTTGTTATAAGGGTTTGGTTTTTCTTTTTTTTTTAAGGGAAGAATACACAGGAGAGAAACAAAACAAATACTTGTTTATGTTTTTTAATAAAATTTGCATAAAAAAGAAAAAACCCTTTCCAAATCTTAGGAACAACAATAATAATAACGTAACCAACTTTCTATACAGACCCCTGTAAGCAAGGAGATGTGTTCAGAAGCTAGCTATGTGGGTTTCTGGGAGATAAAGTTTTCAAAAAGCCAGCACTGATTTCTTCACAGCCAGGAAGAAACTAGGAAAGTCTCAAGGGAAAGATGACTAATGAAAAGGGCAGAGGGTAAGGCAGCTGCATGTTTCCAAGCAGTCAAGAAGATGGTATGGAGAGAAGATGAAATATTGGCTGCAATGGGACCCTAGGTCCTGGCAGGCAGAAGGCTGGGGTCCTGCTTCTGCCTGGGACCTGGCAACACCACTTTCTCCACTTTCAGCAACCAGAGTCAGGACTGAATTCCCTGCTCTCTTACTTTCTGTTTGGTTGAATAGGTACCAACAGGAAAGTGGGTTTTTTCCCCTGCTCTCCTTCCTGCTGCCTGAAATGGAAGACATTTATCCTAAAGTTTTTCAGTTCTTCAAAGCTATGTTAACATCTTCTGTTTTAAAAGTACCCAAACCAACTTTCTCTAGATACAAATAAGATTGTTCTTAACTGCTCTGAGGTTTGTGTCTATCCTTAATAGCAAACAGGGGACTGTGAGCTAAAAATTAGAGAGCATCTTAAGGGTTTGGTCGTTAATAATTTGTATAAGCTTCCCAAAAGACAGAATTAAACTGGATTGGAGAGGTTGTCTGCTCTTGAGCTAAAATGAGACTGAGTTATCATCTGCTATCTGGTCCAAGGCTGGAAGGATCATGCTTCTTCATTCATTCATTATCCTCCCCATGCACACATAGAGAAAGCTCTCTGCCAGGGTAGAGCTGAGAGCCACGACTGGAGAGTACTAGGAGATGATAGAAGAAGGAAAGTTATGACCTGGCCCACAATGCTTATATTCCAGAGGAAAGAGGGAATGCTCCTCCCTTTTGTCTTCACCTTCAATCTCAAGACTATTCTGAGGTAGACACAGAAGGCTACAAAATCACAGGATTTTAGATTTAGAGCTGAGAGGAACCTCAGATATTCAACTCCTTCATTTTACAGATGAGGAAACTAAGGCCCAAAGAGGAAATGATTTGTCTTAAGTTACATAGAGAGTAAGTGGCAAAGCTAGGATGAGAAGACAGATCCTCCAACTGCAAACCCAACACTTTTTCTACTACTTCACACAGCCTTGTTTGTGGAACACACCTGTTTAAAAATAGGAGGGAAAGGTAAAGGTGTTTCCTCTCCCAGTGAAGGAGAATTAGGAGTGGTTAGGACTGGACAACCAAGGAAGGATGATGCAACGGAAGACACAAGAGGAGAAGGGATCAAGGAGGGCATGTTCAGCAGCATTAAATGCTACCAAGAAGTTAAGGAGGATGAGAACAGAGAAGAAAAGGGGGGAAATGGCCTTTGGATTTGTCAAGTAACACCTTGTAGAGAGCAACTTCAATAGAACAGCCATGATTGATGCTAGATTTGGAGAACAGAAGTAGTCCTTCCTCTGCTCCTCCTCCCTACAAAAAAAGCCATGAAGTCATAAACCTGATGAAACCTTTGACCTATGGATGAATTCTGCTTTTGTAGCAATGCTAGTGATGGCAAAGAAATCAACGGCACTTTCCCTTGGGGTGCTGGCACGCATGCTTTCTTAGGTTTTAGGGATTTGAGAAATTTTCCACTGCAAACTTTGACACTTTTATTTTAGGCCCTACTGGAAATAGTACATCACAATTAACTGTTTCCTCAAAGCTGTGGAGGTCCTTTGAAAAAATCAGAATGAATGACAAGTCTTCACTGTTCCCGTTCATCCCTCAGTGCTCAATACAATCTTCCCAGAAGCTTCCTTCATCTTCAAGTCCTCCTTCCCAATGAGTGTATTCATCTAAATTCATCTCCTAAGCCACTGAGCTCCCAGTGAAACTGCTTATTTAAAAAAACCAAATCCATGTCCTGTGTAAGATGGTGGGCTACTCGTCATCACCGTCTCATCTCACAAGCTCTACTTTTCTAGAAGCATTTCTCATGATACGCTCTGTCAAGGCCAGAGCCTCCACCTGGCTTTAGGAAGGAGTAAACAAGTTGTCTCAGGATCACTAAGAAGATGTTTCAAAGTTAGGAATGGAATAATCGAAGGGCTGATGGGAAATAAGCAGAACTCCTCAAGGAGAGGATGTGAAGACTACTCCAAAGCAGTCTGGATCAGAAGCCCAGAAGACACAGCTAAAAGGAAAGGTCCAGGGATACGCTGGAGCTGGCTCAGGCTCGCTCCAGGAAGCTGTTGTGAAATTTTCCGTGTGAGCAAATGCTACAAAATCAGGGCTTGGTTTCTTGTTTTGTTGATATTCTAGACTTAAGAAAGTATTAATAATGCAGATTAAACTTAAAAATGTGTCATGACTACATTTTTTTTTGAGAAAACTGGTTGCCGTATATTTACCATCACACCCCTAGATCTTTCCCTGCCATCCTGGAGTCAAAGGACCTGAGATCAAATTCTCACTACACCACTAACTAGCCATGTGCCTTGGGCAAGTCACTGAAACACTCTAGGCCTTGCTTTTCTCCTCTATAAAGTGAGAGGGGGTTGAACTGGATGACCTCTATGACCCTGGCCCTTCCAGTTCTGCACATACGACCTATGAAAGCCCTCACAAGATTCCTAGGACTAGATGCCCATAAAAAATTCAGCCTGTTCTGATGAACTTCGAATCACCTCCATTGTAACCTTTATGTCAACAGGTGACGACTGTTGACTTCTTAACTGCCCTGGGACTTAACAAACTGCACTGTGTAACCTCACGGGCACTGTTCCCCTTTCTTAACTCATCTCACCCCCACAGCCAGGCGAATGTCAGATACGTGAGGGGAAGTGGCAGGAATTTTCCAATAACATGAACAGGTCAGAGACATGATAATCATATTTTCCAATGTGAAGCCATGAGGCAAAACCACCAGAATGCCCCTAGTGCTCTTAGGAGCTTTGAGAAAGGATTTTCCATGTAGCCATCAGCAAGTCTATTGTAGAGAGGCTAATCATAGGAAAATAGCTAAATCTGAGAAGGGTGTTAGAGAGAAGGGGGAGGAAGAGAAAGGGAAGGGGCATTTATACAGTGACCACTGTGTCAGGCACTATGCTGAGCACTTCTTTTTTACAAATATTATCTCATCTGATCCTCTCAACAACCCTCCAAGAGAGATGTTGTTGTTATCCCCATTTCATAGCTGAGTAAACTAAGACAAACAGTTCCTCACCCAGCATCACAAAGCTAATGTCTGAGGCTGGATTTGAACTCAGGTCTTCCTGACTCTAGGCCCAGCATTCTCTCCGCTGCTATCTAACTGCCTTCCTTTGACTCTCTGTTGCTATTGGTCAGTCATTTCAGTCATGTCTCACTCTTTGTGACCCCATCTGGAGTCTTTGCAAAGATGCTGGTTTTCTTGGCAAAGATATTGGAGTGGTTTGCCATTTCCCTCTCCAGTTCATTTTACAGATGAGGAAACTGAGGCAAACAGAGATGAAGTGACTTGCCCAGTGTCACAAAGCTAGCAAATGTCTGAGGCCGGATTTGAGTTCAGATCTTCCTGACTCCAGACCCAGCACATTATCCACTACACCACCTAGCTTAATTAAACTGAGATCCATACACAAAGTCTGGGCAGCACAAAAAGATATGCTGAATAGGAACAAAGGGCAGATTTAGCATCATATACGCCAATGCCACATATAATCACAGGACTTTCAACTTTGAAAGCGTTCCTTAAGCAAGTAGAAATATATTGCAACACATCTCTGCTGTAAATAACTGGAAACAAATGCTGTGCCCATCAGCTGGCGAATGGATGAATAAACTGTGGTCTGTGAAGATAATGGAATATTAAGTGTCTTACAAGAAATAACAAATATGAGGAATTGAAAGAAACATGGAAAGACTTACATAACTAGAGAATAATATGCATGGCAAATCACTACAATAATATAGGTGATAATAACACTAATATAAAGTTGAAAGCTGGATAACTATAACGACCAATCTTGGCCCTAGAAAAAAAATAAGGAACCACCTCCCTCCTTTTGCTAGACAGCTGGGGAACTACTGTCAAATACAGCCACTACACCCCTTGGTTTTTCTTTGTGATAAGGGAGAGCTTATTAAGGGGTAGATATGTCTAAAAATAACTGTTGTAAAAAGAAAAAGCACCAAAAAAACTTACTCTGGAAAAGCATGTCTCTGCTATGATCACACCTCCCCAGTTTCAACAAACCAGTCTCCTTACTTTACAGCTTGTAAATAGTTGATATCAGATCTTTTACTAAGAGCAAGTGATAAGAGATCAAGGCAGAGAAAATTAGGCCCTAATTACCTAAAAAGCAGCAGGGCATATTCTGGAGGAGCAGAAAGGACATATAGGCAAAGAGAGCACAGATTTAGAGCTTGCACGATCTTTCGAAGTCATTAAACCTACCCTCCCCTTTATTTTACAAATAAGGAAACTGAGGCCCAGAAAGGTTAAGGGACTTGCCCCAAAACACACAGTCAGGATTTGAACACAGGTCTTCCTGACACATCATCAATCACTCTACTCACTGCCTTCCAAGACAAATTTGGCCAATTTCACAATTTTAAGAAGAAAAACACTGAATGTTAGGGAGAAGCATCAAGGACACCTTCGAAGGCACAACGAGGACAGTAAGAGAATAAGGAGGACTGGTATTGTAGGGAATCCATCAGGGGTATTAAGTGAGAGGTCCAGAGACCCTGGGAAAACTCACAGGGTGGAATGGGTACGTGGCTCCAGCAGAGTTCATGTCCACACAGGGTCCAGAGTCCCGCATCGAGCTCAAGGCCATTCTCTGCCGAGAGGAACTGCACCCAGGACATCGGGGACATGCAAAGGAGCAGGATTAAAGTGAACCCACACAATCCAGCACAGAACGTTCGGATATAAAGGTGGGTCTGCTTCAGGAGATGCTGCTGCTGCCATGGTGACAACAAGGCAACCCAGTGGTTTTGGGTAGGTAGAATTGGCTATGGAAGTGAACATCATTGAGAATGAGTCACCCCTCCACTCAAATAAAATCAATCCCCCCACACACACCCCCCATAAAGACACAATTCCTAAATCCTACAGAACTAGGGCTCCTCTCAGAAACCTCTTAGACTCCAGGCTCCCAAGGCCTCCCAGTTTGTTTCTTACAGACCTCTGCCCACCCCCTTCTCCCATGGGGAGGAGAAAAATATATCTTTGGAGGAAAAAAATCTTCAGAGTGACCCAAGCTCTAACAGCCCCTGCCTAGTTTCAACTTCCCCTCAAAGCAAGCACCTTCCCCAAAGGGCCTTCTCACCCTCTGGTAGCAGTGATCTCCTTCAGTCTCCTGAGTGCAAGGGATGTGGAAGGTCAGGACCTTGGGTCCCAATGGCGCTTCTGTGGCTGGCTGAGGGCCTTCCATCACATCTTCTAACTGACACGGAACTTGTCTGGGGGCAGGGCTAAGAGTATGGGTGGAGGTTCTCTATTCCCAGGACCCCACACGCTGAGGACACTACCATCTTTTACTAAGCTTGTACGCAGGCGTCCAAATCTCTCTCCCTATTCCTCAGTCCACGCTTACCCATTTCCCACCCAAAGGTTACTGTCTACTACCAGTGGTAGTCCATAAAGCTCTATCCTCCTGGTCTCCTAAGTAATTTTATAAAGGCTTCCTTAATTCCAGGAATTCTTCTCATCTCTTGCCTCAGGGATAGAGAATTTTTTTTTAAAGTACAGAGAGAGATTATTAATAAAATTCATAAAACGCTCTGAACCTTCTTGCTGATGCCTTCCAAATAGACCACGTTTGTAAAGCACCAAGCATGATGCCTCACATGCAGTATGCGCTGAAGAAAGAAAATGTTCCTTCCCTCCTTCCTCCCCCTTGGTTTCAAGGCAGACTTGCTGGTGGTCCACTCTGATCTCACGCCACGTTGGCTTCTTCCCGCGGCTCCTTTGACTCTTACTCTCCAATTCCACCACAACCACCTAAGCAAAGCGTCTCCTCTTAGATGTGTGAGAAATAACTCATTTGGACTCAGGAGGGATGAAAGTAAAAGCCCAGTTTATTACACAGTTGCGACTGCAGGTGTCCTATAGAATAGGACACACCATCCCAAAGCAAGAGCTCGCTATTCATCTCCACTCCCGGCCACAAAGTCCCTCCTCTCCTTCCTCATTGGCTGAGTACTCCAGAGTGGACAACTTTCCAGTACACCTATTACATATCTACCCCTTCATATGTCTCCTCTTCCTTCTACACACATCACATGTTCAGAAAATGGCATCTTAGCCCCACTCGGGATGGAGAAGTTAATGCTCGTGAGCCTATGTTCATGCTCACTCTAAACAAAGCTTAACTTTTGTTCGACTTAACTGACTTCTAACAGCAAAACAAGATAAGACCAGTTGTATCCTATTTTACTTAGTTACCTTTCTAGCTGTTTGCTCCAAATTTATGGATATAAACACTTTCATTATATCTGTCAGAAGGGACTTCAGAGGTCATGGCGTCCAACTCACAGCGTGACAAGAATCTCTCCCACAATATACCTAAAAAGGCTTTGCTTGGACCTCCAGTGGGGGCACCCATTACCTCAAGGCAGCCAATGCCACTTCTGGACACCAATGATTAGAATCTGTCCCTACATCCTAATATCCCTGGTTGGGTCCTCAGTTGCTGTTAGTGTACTTCTGTGATGCCAGATGCCTACTCTTCAGGCCCTCTCACTAGCTTCCTATGTTGATGGGTCAACAAGGATTTATTAAGGCCCTACTACATACCAGGCACTGTGTTAGGCACCAGGAATACAAAGAGTAAAACAATACGTACTTTCAAGGAAGGTACAATGGGGGAGACAGAGTGTGTGTGTGTGTGTGTGTGTGTGTGTGTGTGTGTGTGTGTATGTGTGTACATGATAAATATATAAGGAGTAAGTACAAAATAAATAGCAGTCAGAAAGGAAGATAGTAGTATTGGGGGGCATTACAAAGGATTTCATAGAGGAGGTGGTACTTGGACTATATCTTGAAGAAAAATGAGGACTCTATGAAGCAGAAATTAGGAAGGAGTACATTCTAGGCATGGGCAGTTGCCAGCACAAAGGCCTAAAGACAGGACGTGGAGTAACAGAGAAAAGGCCTGTCTGATCAAAAAGTATAGGAAGGGGAGGAACATACAATAAGGCTGGAAAGCCAGGTTGGCACAAAGTGGTGAAGAGCTTTAAAAGCCCAAAGTGAGGAGTTTATGTTTTATCCTAGAGGCAATAGGGAGTGACTGGAGTTTATTGAGCAGAAGAGTGACAGGGTAAGAGTTGTCCTTAATGAAAAGCATTTTGGTCACTTTGTGGAAAATGGATTGGAGAGGGGAGCAACTTGAGGCAGTAAGACCAATCAGGATGCTGGGGTACATGGGGCGTTCAGGAGGAGCTCTGGCGTGAGCGCTAGCTGAGCCCTTTTCAGGGCTGCTCATGCACCTTTGGTGTCTACCTGATTCCTCTCCTGTGGCTCCAAGAAGCTGTAGCATGCAGTGGCCAAACCCCATTAAAAACCATCGTGAAAGACAGTTAAACCAGGTTGAGGGTAACCAACAGACCTCAAACCTATCAGTGAGTTAGGGGACGTTTACCCCAAGCATGTGAAGATTTTCCCTGGCAAAATGGGCAGATGAGAGCATGGTCAGGCATAGAAGATGCCAAGGTCATCCACTGTATCTGGGTCATTGCCAACAGTCTTGACTGTTGCCCTGCCACTGGATTTCAGTGGGTCAGGAAGAGAGTGAGGCTGATCACTTTGTCCAACTGTGCCTCACTTATATCCAATTTACACACAAGTTAAGACATTACCTATGACATCATTGGTTTTCTTCAAAAACAAAAGACAAACAACAACAGTCTAAGTAAGAGGAGATCAAGAAACTGTGGATGACAAAAACAGCAAAATTTAGTAACTGACTGGATATGTGCAAAGGAGAGTAAGGAGTCCAGCCTGGCACTTTAGTTATAAACCTAAGAGACTGGAGGGAGGAATAAGGAAGTTTGGAAGAAGAAGGGATTTAGAGGGAAAAAATTGAGTTCTGACTCTGAGTTTACGATGATGTCTGTAGGACATCAAGGTTGAAATGTCTGTAGGCCGTTGGTGTTGAAAGGCTGAAGCTCAGATAAGATAATGGGGCTAGATATTTAGATAGGTGCATCATTTGCAGAGAGATGATAATTAAACTTGTGAAAGTTAAATCAGATTATCAGAGAAAGTAGAAAAAGAAAAGAAGAGGGCTCAGAACAGAGCCCTGAGGAGCACCCACAGTTAGAGGGCATGAGACCAAATGCCTGCTTACTTGAACATATATCACTGCCAATCATTTGTCCTACTCCCGTGTGTCTTTTCTCTAGGTGCTGGATATCCCCCATCTGGCTTTGCTTGCCTACCCAGCTGAGTCCCAGTCATGACTTTTTCCTCCTACACAAACACCATTTAAAATCTTTTCTTGCTAAGTCATTGGCCATCCTCAAAAACAATGATAATTTGGAAATGGTTTCCTTTAGTGTGACATTTTCCCATCTGCTAGCCAGTAACCAAAATAGATTTAAACAATGATGTAAATGGAGCATTGACAAAGGTTCTCAGGAACATGCTGGGTTTGTCTGAGGCAAGTCAACTTTCAATGTTTATAATGACTTTATCATTAAGAACTGTTTCAAATGTCACTTTCTGTGGCTCACTAATTTTGTAACCTTGGACAAATCACCTAACTTAGTCTGTTTCATCATCTGGAAAATGATAATAGTGATCCAGATTACCTTACAAGATTATTATGAGGATTGAGTGAAATAATAGATGCAAAATCATTCAATAAGTTATAAAGTTATAAAAAAAATTAGTAGTAGCAGTCATATTCTACTAAAGTCTTATTCTAATGTCCCATTGTCACAATTTCATGAAACATGTGAAAAACCTGGGTTTATTACCAGACAAATGAACAAGCACGTGGAACCCTATGCATGTGCAAAGAGTTCACAATCCAAACAGAAGCTTGCATATTTATGAGATTACAACAAAGAAGGGAGGAGAAATAACAATCCCCTCCTACATGGGGTTAGGGTTAGGGTTAGGGTTAGCAGGAGGAAAAGAGCAGTGAGGATGGGGAAAGGACTAATTCCTTCCAAAGGGGAGGAGAAATCATGAATAAGATGGCAAAAACATTCTTTTCTCTTGGGAATTGCTATGCTATGAAAATATGATGGTCTGCTTACCTACAAGGGTCCCAGCTACATAGACTGATAAATTGTGTACAGATTGACTGACGCCTGTCTTGACTCCCAAAGGCCAACAGGGAGTACAACTTGGGATGTAAACAACACATTATATCAGCTCAAAGTGGACTTCATCCTTGACACATTCAGGACCTCTTGCATACTCTGGATCCAGTGTCTCTGGAAAATATGGCAACTCAAGAAGACAAGTTCAGGGGACCCCTTAACACCATCATGGCACAGGGCTGAACTTTGGCTCTTGAAGGCTATGCTCTCTGGCAGATAAAACCAAGTTGGAAAGACCATGGGTACAAGCCCAATGATGAACTACGTACCCACAGTCTTGAGTCTCATTCTACCAGTTTAGGGAGGTTCAGAGTCACCAATCAATCAATAAGCATGAATTATGCACTACTCCTTTCTTCACTCCATTTCTACTCTCCAGAATTTTCTCCTCACCCTCACAGCCTTTGCATCCTGGGGATGCCCGTCCCCCTGAGGCTCTTTTCTCTGATTGCTAAGTCTATGGTCAGGTCATGAATTCATGAGGTGTCCAGGCCATCCATGCTCACTCTTCTCCTAACTCACTAGACTTTTCTCCTCCTCCCACCCTCCAGATCACTTTTATGTGTTGTTTGCCCCACTAGGATTTAAAATCCTTGAATGCAGAGACTGTCTTTTTTGCTTGTAATTGCATTCCAAGTGTTTACATACCTGATACATAGTATGCACTTACTGCAGCTATAGGGCACAATGGATAGACCACCAGACCTGGAGTCAGGAAGCCCTGAGTTCAAATCCAGCCTGAGACACTTAGTAGCTGAGTGACCCTGGGTAAGGCACTTAATCCCATTTGCCTCAGTTTCCTCATCTATAAAATGAGCTGGAGAAGGAAAGGGCAAACCATTCCAGTATCTTTGCCAAGAAAACCCTAAATGGGGTCACAAAGAGTCAGACGTGACTAAAACAACTAAAAACAACAAAATACATTTAATAAATGTTTTATTTTTTTATATCTCTCTCTCTACCTTGTGTCAGGCACTGTGCTAGGAGCTAGGAACACAAAAACAAATGTGAGATAATCCAGGTCCTTGAGAAGCTTACATCTACTACCAGCATTTTTATAACCAGATAATGAATTCTTTTTCGGCTACAGCAACTCAAGGACTAAAGAAGCTGAGATGCACATCAGCAGAAAGAGTAACATAGATCTTCTGAAGTATTTCAATTACCGTACCCTCATGTATGGCCTTATGTCTATCGTTCAAAGACATGAACATTGGCATGGAACAACTTTTAATCTGAACCAGACCTACAATACAACCTTCTTCCCAAGGGCTTATGATAGAAGTGGATAAAAAGTGGCCCAGTTAATGCTAAAGTCAATACCCTGCGAGGCAATATATATCACTAGTGAAATTAACAATCAAAATGTTTATTGTTGTTGTTATTCAGTTGTTTTTTCATTTGTGTCCAATTCTTTGTGACCCCTTTTG